AAAAAAAAAAAAAAAAACAAACCCTCAATCACACCAACTGATCTTTGAGAAGTGATAATTACATTATTAGAGATGCCTAATCTTCTTAAATCTGCCCTAGTAAACACCACACCTTAATGTTAAAACCTCTGACTAGGAGATACACTATACTGCAAATCTGACCCACACAGGCAATTATCCGAGTTTCCATCAAGGAAGCTGCAAGCACCAAGTGGAACAAAAATGATTCCAGGCCTCAAAAGGAAAAAGCAGCTCTGAATTGTCATTTAGGAAGAAACCTGCATTTCTTACACTTCAGTGTCATTTCCCCAAATTTAACTTCAGGATTTTTGTCAATTTGTTTGGTTTTCCTTTCTCAAACAAAATTATTCTTAGACTGAAGATTCTAGATTTATTCTGATATTGCCTCTCCACTTCTTCCCATTTCATAAGGTCTAAGTTAGAAAGTTAAGTCTGAAAGCTTCCTCCTGGCCTTTCTTTCTAAACACCCACAGCTGTAAACGGGGAAATGGGGGAAAGGAGGGTGGAGATTTGTAACCCAGCCCTCTTACCACAAATTAGTAATTGGAGAGGAATGATCTCTCTTTCTTAATGATCTCCAGAGAATTTTCTGTCACTGCCTCCCTTCACCCAGCTCCTCTGTAACCACTACCAGAAAATTATTCCTTCAGCCTCTTAAGCCTCAATCCTCAAACTCTTCCATCCACCTGTGCTGCTGCCTTCTATTTCCATGGAGATCCATCTCAGCAACAACCTTGCAAAGACATTCCCCCCTCAGTCTCACCATCCTCTGTTCAAAACTCTCTGATGGCTTCTCATCTCACTCAGAATGAAAGTCGAAGTCCCTAAGATGGCCAAGCTCCCTATCATCGTGCCAGCCTGCCAGCGCCTTAACTCTCCATTCTCACCTCTTTCTACTCTTTCCCTCATTCCCTGATCACACCTTTACACTTGTTCTCTGCTTGGAATCTCCCCTCCTTTCTCAAATGTTGCCTTCCCTCAACACCACCACTTCCCATTTAAAGCTGTAAACTTCCAACTCTCTATGCCCCTAAAAAACTCTCTATTTAACTTATTGTATTAACTATTATATATTGTATTAACTATTATCCTCATTCTAAGTTTCATGATTGCAAGGATTCCTATTTTGTTCACGTATGTAACCCCAAGGGCTAGAACAGTGCAAGTTACGCCACAAGAATTCAATAAACAGACATTCACTTAAAAAAATGCTGAGCACCTGTTCCCGACCCAGTTTGTGAAGTCAAGATAAATAAGACACTATCCCTGTCTTTAACGCATCAGATGGAGAACTGTACCACAAACATAAATGTGCAATACAGGACTGAAAACTAAGGCCACAGGCAGGTCAGAGGACATGCCAAAAGTTCAGAGGAAGAAACCTCGGCTTCGTCTTTCTGGGGACCAGTCCAGCTTTGCACCATCGCGCAGCTCACTAAGGACCATCCCCAGAGGGTCTCCTCTAGACCCCTCAAGAGCAGCGGATCCTGCTCGCTCTCCCCAGGTCTCAGAGGTTACTTGCCCAGGGATGCAACTTCAGGCCGAGCAAGAGATTTAAGGAAACAAACTTGAGGACCTCTGCTCTTCGGCCTCCGCACCCTCCCTCTTGCCTCACAAGCCGCCTCCCACAGTGGCCGGGGACTGAACCCAGCCCCGGACCAACGTGCCCTCACTGCCAAGAGCGCCTTACTTCCGCGGTCCCCACCTGCTCCCGGCGTCCCCCTCGGCTCCTCCCGGCGCGTGCGCGAACAGGCCCACGTGGGCCCCGGAGGGGCGGGCGCCCGGCCGCGGCTGGGCACGCCCCTAGCGCAGACCTGGCTCCTGATTGGCTGTCCGGCGCTCTCCCGAGCAAGGCTGGGGAGCCCGGGCTGCGCCTCTAAAGGCGCTCTCCAGTGGAGTCCTTCGCTGCTGTTTTCTGCTCCTCGCCGCGTCCTCGAGCCCGGGATTTGTGCCGCACTGCCAGGATGTCCCAGGTACGGCGCGTGCCCGGCCGGGCTGCGAAGGTGTCCCGGGCGGGAGGCAGGTGCGGAACCTCCCGGGCTCTTTCCTGTAGTGCCAGCAGCTGCCCCTGGACCCCAGCCCAGCCCTGGTGTCGGCACAGAGCCTTGTGAGCGGAACTTTCCGTTTGCGGATGCCTGATATAAAACTGCTACCCCCTGCAACTGCCGGGGTGCGCTTGCCCACGGGGTGCGCTTCGCGGCGGTGCGGAGAGGCTGGGAGACGAGGGTGCGGGACAGGAAGGTGGGGGAGGGGGCGCACGGATTGCGGGGCTGGGAGGCTGAGCCCCACCCGCAGCGACCGGGGACTAGAGGCGTCGAGGCGGCGTGGGGGGCGGGCAGGCCGCGGCTGCGAGCTCGGAGGTCAGGGGGCGGGGGGTGCCGAATGCCCGGCTGCGGGGAGCGGAGAGGTGACCCAGAGGCCTTTCCTTCCCTCCGCTGTAGACTTCGGTACGGAGCCATGGGGGCGCGAGATTCCTCCCGCCCGCCTGTCCCCAATCCGGGCACGCGGACACAGGTCGGTGCTGACCGCCAGACCCCCGAGGAAGGCCCGCGGGCTTTGGCCGCTGAAAGTGCCACACCCGTGCGCAGTCCCCTTCTCAGCCGTTTTGGCCACGGTTAGCGCTTCATTGGAAGCCCGGCCATGCCCTAGTCTGGCCGCGTGGTGGCCAGCAGTTGGCTGCGCTGCCGTTCTACGGAGTGCACGCACCCTGCGGGCAAAGGCTCGCTGCCCCTGTCACCCTGCACCTCCAGCGCCTGGCGCCTGCTGCAGTGACAGCGCCCGAGACGTTGGTGTCAGTTGAATGAGTGAACAGGTGTATTTCCTCTTCTTGTGTTTCTGAATCTTTCTGGCTGCCCTGTTGGTGCTGCTGGCGGGGGAGACGCACTTGAGGGAGCTGCTTTCCTGGACTGTGTTGCAGGAGTGCCGCGGCTCTGTCCAGGCCGCAGCGACTCCTGCCCTCTCCCGCTCAGAGGGGCCTCATTCCTCTCCTCTCCCCTCCATTTAGGCTGAGTTTGAGAAAGCTGCCGAGGAGGTTAAGCACCTCAAGACCAAGCCAGCGGACGATGAGATGCTGTTCATCTACGGCCACTACAAACAAGCGACTGTGGGCGATGTAAATACAGGTATGCTGAGCCGAGGCTGGGAGGGCCCCTCCCCATCAAAGCCAGCCCAGCAGCCTTGACTGAAAGTCTGTGGAAACTTTCCTTGCAACCCCCACCCCGACCCCCCAGAGCTCTGCTCTTCAGATGGAGCATGGTGATGGTTCCTGGAGTTTCAACTGGGACAGTTTCCCCGAAAACCATGTTCAAGGATTCACAGTGTCTCAGGGAGCAGAGTTCAAGTCCTGGTTTTACAAGGGCTTTACTGGTTATCACCAGCAGCTCCTCTTTGCTAGGGAGTAGGCAAAGGCCCCAGCTTGGAAGAGACTTTCTCTAGGCTGTCAGCTCAGTAGTGGCTTTGTTGAACCCTACTGCTTCTGCCTCAGATGGGCAGGATCAAAGTCTGGCAGCCAGACCAGGCCTGATTTCATAAGCAGAGAAGCACCCGGCTTCTAGGGGCAGGTTAGAGGTGTTTTTGCTGACAACAATCTATACCTTCCTGGTGACCATTCACTCCCTATCCAGAATTCTTGGTACAGACTTTGAGGCTGTGCTTTGGACTACCATGTTCTATGATAATGTCTGTCCTGCCTTGGGCAGTTTTCATTTTGCCTCTAAGTCCCCGAAACTCAGGTGTATACTGAGTGTATACAGCACAGTGCATTCTGTACCAGGATTCATGACAGCACCGAAGGAGGTCTCTCATCCCCCTTTCAGGAGGAGGCTGAGCATGGCCCCCAATTCTATGGTAGCTGGGGTGGAGGGTGAAGCACGTGGACTGGCTGCCGGCCAGCTGGAGGCAGGAAGTGGTGCCCAGAGCTAAGGATCCTGACAATCCAAATCAAACCTTGTGATTCACACCGAGGACTTAGTCGAGGAAGGTACTGTGGCGAAGGTGAGTTTTACAGTGAGTTTATAAACTCTATCCTCCCAGGGAGGAGAGGGAAAAGTGAAGTGGGGGTGGCCAGAGGTGCTGAGATGCTTTTCTGCCAAACTGTTTTCACAGAGACTGGCCTCTGCCCACACTGGAACTACCTGTTTTCACATGAGTGTAGGAAGACTGGCTTGAGAATCTTTCAATTTCTGATCAGGGAGATATCATCGGCTCTCTCTAGAGCTGTACTGTTCAATATAATAGCCACTAGCCACATGTGGCTATTTAAATTTTAACTGAAAAATAGTTAAAGTTAAATAAAGTCAAGTTTAGTCTTTAATTGTAGGAGCCACATTTCAGGTGCTCAGTAGGTATACGTGGCAAGTGGCTTCTGAATTGGGTGTTGCAAATGTACGTTTCCATCATCGCAGAAAGAGCTGGGAAGAGCGCTGTTCCAGGAGTCTGATAACTGCAGGTGCAATTCGTCTCAGGTGCCCCTGGGAACGCTTCCCTGAAAGCACTCGGGGACACCACAGGTTTTCTCCGACACAATGTCCCAGGCTGTAGACTCTGATTGCTCCCCTTGGCTCTGTTGTCAGTGTGGCAGTGCAATAGGGGAGCAGGGAGGTAGTGTGTGTGTTTCCCAACTGCAGATGGTAACAGTTATGTAGGCATAAAGTCATGGAATAATTTAAAGAAACCTCGCCCTCAGTAAAGACTCCTGCAGATCAACAAGAAATAGACCAACAGTTTGGTAGCCAAATCGGGCAAGGATATGAACACACAGTTCACAGGAAAGGACACCCAGAAGATGGTAGTGATTGGGAGAGAATTTGTGTGGCTAAGAGTGGGAGAGAAACTTTATAGTATTCCCCTTTGTAGCTTTTAAATTTTGACCCCTGTGAATGGATGTTTAGTTAAAAAAAAAAAAAAAAAATATTTAAGTACAGTTTTTAGAAGGAGAAATTTTGGAGTTATTTAACATGTAAGACAAAAATGATCTGGTAATGAGAACAGTTTTCCTCCTGTTTTCTCTAGATTTTAAGTTTGGATTTCTATACACCTGGGTTTCCTAAGGCAGAACCTGCTGTACTAGACCCATGTAACTCCATGACGGAGCCAACAGGGAATAGGTGTAATAAAAGATGACTTTTATGGCCAGAAAGTTGATAAGTTCTCCATTAAAAGTTGAAGCAGATCTAATGTCTTTCCTTCCCTTGTTTAAGAACGGCCTGGGATGTTGGACTTCAAAGGCAAGGCCAAGTGGGATGCCTGGAATGAGCTGAAAGGTAATTGTTCTAATCAGTTCCCTCGTTTATGAAGCCCAGGGATGAAAGACTTCGTTATGGAGTATAAGGGGTGAGGAGAGAGAACAAAGTGGATGAGGCACATGGAGAAACCCGCCTGACCTGTGCCAGAAAGGAAAAAAAACCAGGCCACCTACTTTTTCTCCTAATACTGTGTATGCCTTTTCTAAGAGCACTACCTCTGAGCAGGGGTATCATCTGGAGAGGAGGGGCTGGGGACCAGGCCACTGAAAATTAGGTGGGGAGGTGGTATATTTGGTGTGGGCTTTGGATGTATTCAGAATAAGGGGTGGTTTCCTGCCCACAGCTCCCTTTCCCCTGCAAGGCTAGGCAGTGACCCCCTAGCCTGAGTGGCCCTCCCCAGTTCCCTCCCAGCCAGAGGGCACATAAGAGAGGGAATGAGCTAATGCATGGCGAGCCGCTGGCACATCGTAGACTCAGTGAATGGAGCTATTATATGCTAAGCACCAACAGCCAAGAAGTATCCAAGCTTCTACTTAATCACGTGCCACCTGTGGCAGCAAGACCCAAAAGTTGGCACCAAACTTCCTGGCAGCTTTAGTGTTCTCTCTGGCTAGTTTCTGAATAAGCCCTCTGTCTTCTTGCAAATGAGAAACTCTTGAATTCAGAAAAAGCCACAGTACAATAAATACACTCCTAGGATTTGCAAGTGACTGGAAAGGGAATGCCTGTCTGACTGTCCGTTCTCATCGGGCATTTCCACACCACCCTCAGGCCCCACGTGCTCGTCGTGCTTCACAACAAGCTCCGAGTCCCAGAGGGTCCTCTCCTTCCTACAGAATCCAGGATGCTGGGTGTCACCGTCTCTGAGGGATATGCTCGGTGCCCCTTTGTACTACAGTAGGAAGACAAAGATTTGTCTCATTCCCTTCCCAGAACCAGCTATTTTTGCTCAGAGTTTTCGAAACTTTTCTCATAGCTTTTCTCTGGGGAGAAGAGAGTGCCTGGCTTTGCTGTGTCGCTGCCAGCAACAGCTCTGGGAGGTAAGAGCCCAGCACAGAAATACTTCATAGGCCAAAGCCAACCGTGAGAGTCAGCAGGAACAGTGAAGTCACCACCGTGAGATTCCTGTCCATCCGGAGGGCCAGGCCTTTCTCCCGAGGCTCGCGCTGACCATCCGCCTACTGTCATGGGGGACGCATGTAGCCAGCAGGTAGACAACAGGCCTCAGCCAGCTCTGCCATGCATCCTGAGCGCAGTGGTTTATGGAGCATTCCCTGTGAGCCAGGCTCCTCGGATGCTTTAAGTCCTGTGCTTGGCAGGTCTCTGAGGTGTAGGTAGTGGAACCTCACCTTTACAGGTGAGAAACTGAGTCTCAGGGAGTTAAACCAGAGCTGTCTGGGGCTCTAAATCCTGCTGTTCTACCATGCTGCCTCCCTGACAAACAATCCTTGTCGATTCCTTGCAGGGACTACCAAGGAGGATGCCATGAAAGCTTACATCAACAAAGTAGAGGAGCTAAAGAAAAAATATGGAATATAAGAGACTGGATTTGGCTGCCAACCATGCATTTAACCTAACCTGATACGATGCCTTGTTTTTTCTAATACTGTGGGTGATGTGAAATAGTGAAAACAGCCAGGTAACCCAGTTCCTCAAGGCTGTTCAGGATACGGCTCTAACAGATTAGAGGCTAAAATGATTACTGACCTTTCCCAAGTAATTTTTATCTGAGATCAATTAAAAGTGTATTTGTTACTTTAAGTCTTTGGTAATCTGGGTTCTTGAAATGATTTCCTCTGTCTGTCCTTGCTTCCTTTTTCTAAAGATTTCCTCTGGAAGTGCTTTGGCTTAGCTCCTTCCACAGCCTGCTGGAATGTGAGGTGGGCAATGCTACCCTGTCCCCAGCCCAGGCTGTGCTCGCCCTTTGTGGGGAGGAAAAGGATCACAGAACTGGCCTTTCTCTCCTCCTCCTTCCTCCCAATTTCTGTCATACTGGGGAAGATTGGGGAGGCTGGCTGAGACTCCAGTGTGCAGGTAGTTCTGTCGGGGACACTGCTGGCCCCAGGCTTTGAGGGAGGCAGGGTTGACTAGTTTGAGATTTGTCTGAGGTCCAGTCAGAAACAGCGAGCACCTGACGTGAGTCCCATTGGAAGCCACGGGCGGCTGGGTGGGCAAGAGGAGCCCTGAGCAGGGAAGAGGGGGAGCGGGACCAGGGAGGCCGCAGAGAAGAAGGGCTAGAGCTTGACTCTGGAGGACATAAGTTGTTGTAAGGGAAGAAGGAAGACAGAGAGACCACTGTCAGGACCTTCCTTGCCAGATATTCCCCTTCTGTGCTTGCATTTATAATCTGACAGTCCTTTGAGATGGGGGGTGATACCCCATTATCAAATGATGGGGATTACCGTGCCCATTGTTCAAATGAGGAAATTAAGGCTCAGAGGTGACATACATGGGTCCAGACCAGGGCTCACTGGCCAGGAAGGCCCTGCCTGTCCCCTTCCACCACATTCCTTCTGTGCCCACTGGCTGCCACTCAGCTCTGCACCTCCAGCGTCTGTCAGACGGTGAGTGACATTGTCCCACTGGGCTAGCCCAAGATGCTGGTGCAAAAACCCTCACTTGACTGTGCATCTCACTCCTGAAGAGTGGCTTGGGAAAGCAGGTCCCATCTGCAAAGCTGGAGTTAGGGCACAGGGGAGCTGCACATTTGTAACCAACTCAGGTGACTCCGGGGCTCAACTAAGTTTGGAAGGTGCCCTCCCCTCTCCCTGGAAACTGGTTGTACTGGTTTCTCAGAAAGTGATGTTTGTGTGGTTCTGAGTCAGCGGCCTCAGGGCCATGCTGGCTCCCACAGCTCCCACAGTAGCCTGTGTACCGCCCAGGGGTGGCTCACAGGGTGTCGCCTGGGAAGAAACCAGATCAGCAATGGGGGCTCACCCGTCCTTACCTTCCCTGTGAGGAGCCCACAGCACCTCTGTGGTACTTCTCACCTCCAATCTGGCTTTGACGACAGGCTGACTTGCGCATCCCACTTGAGTCCCACTTCAGTCTCTCAGGTGCTGGGTCACTTATCTTCTTGGAGCCACAGTGCCATCTGGAAAATGGGTAGACTGCACCACGCAGGGCGGACAGCACCCGGGTCAGTGCTGGGCACGGAGCCTGCCAGAGGGCAGCTCGCTCGCAGGAGGTCTCCCCGGCACACACGCACCCTCCACACTCCCAACACGGTGCTGCTCCTCGCTTTGGCAGTGCTCCAATAACTTGGGGTCAACCATGCAAGTGTGTCTTGTCCAAGGATGTCCTTCTCACACCTGTTAGTTCCAAGATCCAGAAGTCTGGGAACCAGAGCTATTGATCAGGAACCAGACATCTCAAGGAAACAAGGAAAGGCCTCTGGATTGCAAGTTGAGGGCCTTGGGATCAGTCACTCCCTCAGTTAAAAAATGTCGGGCAAGTTATGTCACCTGTAAGCCTCAGTGTGTCCAACAATAAAATGGCGCTGAGCAGAAAGTGTCCATTGAAAGTCAGAGGAGGGGAAAAGAAGTTCCCAGGGCTGGCTGGCTTGACTGGAATCCAGCTTAGAAGTTGTGAGGGGGTGGGCTTAAGCACCCATGTGATTAAGGGTGCTTAAAATAAAATTACAGGTATTTGGAGTTGAGGATGAGCCAAGAGAGATCACCAGCGAGGGTGCGCTATCGCAGAGTTGCACCTCAGGGGTCTGAGTCAGGGCAAGACAAGGCCTGTGCCCTTTGCAGCTCCCATGGAAGAGAAGGTCAGAATGTGTCTTCCCTTAATTTTATGAGCACAACCAATCTCTCTTTCAAAAGGACCTGGAGTAACTAAGAACAAACCAAAAAATAAGGGAAGTCCTCTGCTGGACCCTAGAGTTTAAAGATAACTAAGACTCATCCTGGTCTTAAAGAGCTCTAAGCCACAAACCACAGCACAAGAGAAGTGCCCTGGGAGGCCCTCTCTACCCGCTGCAAAGAATGTCTCCCTGGCAACACCCCCTGCCTTGGACACAACTCAACCCTTGGAAGACTAGAAATTGGTCTAGTTTTTTAAGTTTTATGTCAATAATATCCTTGCTAAGTAATGAATGAACATAAGTCTAGACTAAATAGTTTCTTTTTTAATGTAGCTGTAAAGATAGCCCCATAAAGTCTTTCCAGGGAAATTGGTAAATATCAAAGATAGCACAGGACTCTGCACTTAGGAGGGATTATGATGAACAGCCCAAGGGTTTGATTTGTGGGGCCCCAAAGTACTTCACTGTGGTAGGTTGAATTGTCCCCCAAAAAACATGCCCAAGTCCTACCCCCTATACCTGTGAATGTGACCTTATTTGGAAATAGGATCTTTGTAGGTGTAATTAAGATAAGGATCTCCAGATAAGATCATCCTGGATTTAGGGTGGGCCCTAATCCAATGACTGGTGTCCTTGTAAGAGAGAAGAGAGGGATATTTGAGACAGACACAGAGAAGGGCACATGAAGATAGTGGCAGAGGTTGGAGCGATGCACCTCCAAGCCAAAGAATGCCAGGAACTGCAGCAACTGCCAGAAGCAGTTGCTGGGAGAGAGACATGGAACAGAGTCTCCCTCAGAGCCTCCAAAGGAACCAACCCTGCCAATATGTCCAGAATTCTGGGAGAACAAGTTTTGGTGGTTTTAAGTCACCCAGTGTGTGTATTGTTGCAGCAGCCCTAGGAAACAAGACACAGCTAACCACCTCTGTGTGGCTGCCAACAGACTGGTACCTTCCACCTAGGGCCATGTGAAGGTCTGTCTTCAAGTACAAATGGAACACCATTACCTGGCGTGTGCTCTTGAGAGTACAGTAATTCCTCCTTATCCTTGGAGGATACATTCCAAGACCTCCAGTGGATGCCTGAAACCACAGATAGTACTGAATGCTATTTATACAATTTTCTCCTCTGTATATGCCTATGATAAAGTTTAATTTATAAATTAAACACAGTGAGAGATTAATAATAATAAATAGAACAATTACGATAATATGCTTTAATAGAAGTTATGTGAATGTGGTTCTCTTTCAAAATACTGTTTGTTACAGAGCTTTATAATAGCAAAAAACTAATATGGTGACCAGGCTGTAATAAGTAATGCTTCCAACTCAGTGCCTTATAAAAATAAGTATGTATTTCTCGCTCATGGGTCTGCAGTGCAGCCATGACCCCAACCCTGATGGACTTCCCTGAGATCAGCTGAGCTTGAGCCCTGGTTGAGGTTTGGTTTCAGATACTGCTACATTCATGGTCCAGTACCTATCTGGAGTATGTTCTTCTGGAAGATAGCAGAAAGTGCAAGAGGCCAAATCAAGTGGTTTGACCTTGTGAGAGACTCTGCTTGGGTTATATCTGCTCATGGTCAAAACAAGTCTGTGGTCAAGCCCCAAGTCAGTAGGGCAGGGATGTTCACTCTGCCTCCTCCAGTGGGAGACACTAAGAGTTTCATTGCAAATAACATGGATATGTGTCTTAGTCCATTGTGTTGCTATGAAGGAATACCTGAGGCTGGGTAATTTATGAAGAAGGTTTATTTGGTTCACAGTTCTTCAGACTCTACAAGAAGCATGGCCCTGGCATCTGCATCTGGCGAGGGCCTCGGGCTGCTTCCACTCATGGCAGAAGGGGGAGGGGAGCCAGCGTGTGAGAGATCACATAGTGAGAGAGGAAGCAAGAGAGAGGGCAGGAGGTGCCAGGCTTTTTTTTTATAACAACCAGTTCTCTCAAGAATTAAGAGAGAGAACTCACTTGCATAAGAATGCCACCAAGGCATTGATGAGGGATCTGCCCCCACAACCCAGACACCTCCCACTAGGCCCCACCTCCAACACTGGAGATCAAATTCCAACACTAAACTTGGTGGGGCCAGATGAACCACATCCGAATCATAGCAATATGGAATTCTGTTACACAGAGGAAGAGAAAAATTGGGAACAATGATCCAGAAAAGAGCATAGGCATGGGAGCTGGGCAGTCCTGCATCACAATCACGGGTCCACCACTAATGCTCTTGACCAAAGGACGTCCTTTTGGTCCACAAAGGTCATCTCTGCCAAACAAGTGTCTCATTTCAGAAAGAACACACATAGAGTGATGAAAGAGAAAACATGAGCGGATGTGATATAAGGAGTTCCAGCAGACATACTGAACCATGAGGAGAACTTGAGGATAGAAACAGAGATAGAAGGATCTTGATTCCTGATGCCTCTGAAGAAATGTTAAATTATCCCTGGGCTGCTTACCTGAAGATTTCTTTTTGTACGAGGATAGGCTTATGGCTAAATCCTGGCCAATGATATGTAAGCAGAGGTACCCCTGTGTGTTGGAACCTCTTTTCTCAGGGCACTGTTACACGCAGCCAAATGCACTTCCCGCACGATCCAGGTATTGGGACTGGTCAGGACTGTGCCCATATAAAGTAAGTATGGTAAAATCCTAGTGTATGGGACCTAGGATTCTGGAACAGAAACTACTGCATTTATTGTTATCTGGGAGGGGGTCTCAAAAATTTGATGCTCCAGGAGCAGAAAATGAATAGGGTACAAATTTAGGGAGGTCTTTTGAGTAAGAAAAATTTCTTGAATTTGGGTTGTGAGCATATATTTCAGTATTTGCTATATTAGTCTCTGCACTTTTCTGTTTTCAGTATTTTTTAAAATATTGGGGGAGTGGAAATCATCTTAGTAATCCTCCAGGTCACATGGGCATGAGAAGGATCCCTACAAACTCCCCCACTGTT